CCAGAGACACAGATGAAAGGTCATGTGAAGATGCATAAAAACCAAGGGCCATTTGAGCCTATCAGAGTCTTGAGTCCTCCTCAGAGAGAAGGTGGCCCTGCAACACACAAAGCTCAAAGGGATGGAGTTTGTCCTGGAGTACTTGGTTGTCAGTCCTCAGTGGCCTTTTGAGATCTATGTCTCTCAGCAGCATGGTGCCTTTGAGATGCATCCGAGCTATTATGTGTGTCTCAGTTCTCTAGAGCTGCTCTAAGAGAGTCCCCACTAGGGGGTGGCTTTAACAAACAGATGTGCTCTCTCAAGGCTTAGAAGACTACTAGACTGGCCATGGGGACAGGACCCCTGGTGGTGTAGTGTTTATGCATTGGGCTGTCACCCATAAGATCTGAAGTTTGAAACTAGCAATGGCTCCTCCTGGGAAAGATGGGGTTTTCTACTCTGGAACAGTTACAGCCTTGGAAACACAGGGGCCGTTCTCCTATGTCCTATCGAGTTGCTTTTTGTCTTTTCTACATTGTGCTGGTTCACCATGTAGAAGTCTTTGTCTCCGTGTAATACCTGTGTGCTCCATAGGGACCTCACAAAAAACTAGGCTTCCAAGCGGGTCTCTGTACTCTCGTGAAAGGTGTAGAGAGCCATGCTCGAGAGGATGTGGTTCCTCTGACACTGTGCTCCTGGACAGGCGACACATGGCCCTGGGGCTGCAGAGCCTTGCACGCTTCCTTACAGCTGCCCCTTCTACCATCTGTCAGTGGGACATAAATCCAGAAAGGACCACCTGCCCAGAGTGCAGTTTCCCTTCCTGAGACGGTGAAGATGGCATGTGGAACAGGAAGTGACCCTGAGCAGCCGGCCCCAGCTGGAACTGACCAGCCCTTTCATGGACCGCAGCATTTCAGCAATCATTAACAGCCACACTTCAGCCTCAACCCCACTCAGAAGAACTTTCCAGCTGGTCAAGGACTACTTTGAACCTGCCTTTCTAAAGCCAGACGAAACTCTGATTCATTCCCCTCCTGGGGCCGCAGAGCTCCAGTCCTGAACTGGCCCTAGAAACAGCCCTAGTTCCACATCACTTTCTCCAGGGAAAGGGCACGCACAAGGCCAAGGTGGACAGTGCCAGTCAATTCTAGATAAGGTTTTCCTGGAGGCACAGGCCTTCAAGGGTTAGATTGGGCCCCAAAGGAGTTAGGAGTGGAGGGCAAAACAGACAGATAGACACCCTTCAGTGCCGTGCCCTCCCCACGCCCACCCCAGCAGGGGTACTTATAGGCTCACCCCACTCAAGAGTGTGCTGGCTGCCTGAGGAGAAATTGGCTCCCTCCATCCCCTCAAAGACTGCGCGACCGTAACTCCACTGTGGCATTTCATCTGGAGCCTGAGCCGATGAGTAACGCATGTGTGAAAACAAGAAACTAATATTCATAATTACTTTACAAGATGACGAACTCAAAGGAAAAACAGCATCTGCCCGCCTCACAGTCACCATCAGGAGGAAGCTCTAAAAAACATGGCACCTCACCAGCTTCATGTTAGCACCCGTGGGTGGGGGCCACACTCCATACTGGCCCACTGTGGTCTTCTGCAAGGCCAGACTCAGGGCCTTGGCAGCCACCTTAGGCCTCTTACCTTTCCACACCTAACTGAGACCTTTCAGCCAGTTTGGCTCAAGCAGTGAGTCAGGGGCCAACTGTCATACTGAAGACCCCAGCCCTCATCTTCTGCCCAGGCTCCCCCGTCTCATTCCCAGCCACTGTATGCCGCCGAGTGCTTCTCTTTGTTTTCCTTGGCCTCTAGCTAAATGTACCATGGAGCGTGCCAGCTGTGTGTGTGGACCCCTGAGTGTTACACATGCACACACCCATGTAACCGCCAGACAGCGCTACTGACTGAATGACTGGAGGTTCAAGTCCACCCATATGTACTTCGGAAGAAAGGCCTGGGAGTTCATGTCTGCCAAAGCAGCCACTGAAAACCCTAAGGAGCACAGCTCTCGGGTGACACCTGTGGTGTCCCCATGTGTCAAAGCTGACTCCATGGCAGGTGGCTTTAGGTAACCACCTGTGTGAGTCTGGGTACATTAGAAAAACAAATCCACAGAAACTCATGTACGAGAGAGTTTTATATAAAGGGTAAGTGCACATCAAGAAAACATCCCAAACCAGTGCTGCCCAAACCCACAAGCCCAACATTAACCCATATGTCCGACACCAATCCACAAAGTCCTCCTCCATCTCATAAAACATACACAATGATGCCGACTGCAGGAGGAAAGCTGAATCAGTGAGCATGTAAGCATCTCAGTGCTGGGGTCTCCACACGGCTGCTCCAGCACCCAGGG